ACCCGTCCTTCGTACGGGGTTGGCATATAAGTATGGGGGGAGGACACAGTTTGATAAAATTTGGTTCTATAAATTTACGGAATGATATAGTATAACACATCTACCATAGCCATGTTCTACCATTGCACATAAATAATAGAAAAAAATAATTATCAAACAGTCACACAATATCACAAATTTTTTATTAAATTAAAACCATAAACGTAACTGTAAACAATCCTACTTTGACAGTTCTCATTGTGTATCCCAACTTTTTGTTGCTGCTTAGTAAATATTAATAGTGCTGCAGCCTGTCGGGAAACCTTATAACTTTTTAATGCTATTGCATATTATTATGGAACCAACTTGTAAAGTTGAAACAGCTGACAAAATTCTATAATTCCTTTTTAACCGACTTCCCCACTACCAACAAAAGGAGGAGGTTCTCAATTTGTCTGTGGCGATGTTTTTTTTTTTCTATGTATGTTCACCAATTTCTCTGGGATTCTTTTACCGATCAGTGTGGTTCCACCACCAAAATAACCAGGAGAGTTTCTATTTGGTACCTTATATATTATGTTTAAGTATAATATTTGTTTCGGTGAAAGATTCTGGAAACCTTAAATATTCAACATTTATTTTGTTTACATTTGTGCAGATTGTTTACATTTGTGCAGAGAAGGCAATAAATAATAATAACATTCCTACAGCTGTTAGTTGAAACCATTTAAATGAAGCTACAGACAATTCTTCATGAAACAGTTTCTTCATATTGATCAATAAACTATTTCTTGCCATGGAGCCTAAATGAATTACATAGAGAAAAATGCATTTTGTTTTGGTTACTATAAAAAATGTATTTTAACGTTTGACCTGATTTGTGTATACAGTAATTCTGTTTTTAGTATTGAATATTCTGAGTTACAAAAACATATATGTTTCAGTGAATAGCTGTATGATATTGGCAAATAAAGGTGTATTGTGAAAACCAAAGCATTCGTTAAACAGGTCTAAATATAAATTTAATGCAATTATTCCTTACACGACCTAAGAAGTGTGACAGTGCATAATCGTCAATTGTCTTAAAAGTGTTAAATATTTTAATTACTAAACATGCATTTGCAGATGTGAAATGTTTATTGATATTCTCTACCCAGTTACTATATCATATCAATACTATTATGCCTGCTTCGGAAGGTCCTAGAGGAAGATGATTTGCAATTTTGACTAGGCTATATCTTGATCAAACAAAACCACCTACATGGCTTGCACCACTTTCAGCTGAACCAATCTTTCATATACATATTTCATTTGCAGATGTGGAATGTTTATTAATATTCTCTACACCCAGTTACTATAACATATCAATACTATTATGCCTGCTTCGGAAAGTCCTAGAGGAAGATGATTTGCAATTTCGACTAGGCTATAGGGAGTATGTTTTATCTATGGCTATATCTTAAGCAAACAAAGCCCCCTACATGACTTACACCACTTTTAGCTGAACCAATCTTTCATATAATATTTTCCAAAGGTACTATACGTGTTAACGACCAATTTTCCACTTTTGAGAGATTTTTTAGTGCTGGTAGCTGAGGAATAACTTTCATAATGTTCAAAAGGCTTGAGACGTTACTGTATTTCTTTTTATAATGTAGAAGTACACCGATTGCAGGAAACGATTATGTCTGACATTTCAATGTATCTAGAAAAGACAATTAGTTTTTCACTAGGCCTAATGTAATGGACAACTCTTTCTTTCTTAAGGAATATCTAAAAATGTTTATTTTCATACCCATTGATTATGTAACCTGAACAGGTGACTCAAGCAGTTTTAAAATAATGATTGTTCTGTGGAACTTTTGATTGTGTCAAACAGTTTTGCTTATCAAAAATCCTCAAATAATTAATATATAAAAAATTATACAGTCACTAAAAATCATAAAATAATTTATTTTTGTAAAAAAATACAACCGACTTCAAACGCTCTAAAAAGAATGAAATAATTTCAATAAAGTAAACTTTTGTATTAGGCAAGCTCACGTATTTTAAGTCGGAGCGGCTCCATGATGATTTTTGATACAAAATTGAAAGAGGGTGTCCATATTGCTGGTGACTATCTATAACTAAAGGTGTTAATCTGCATGTCTTTTTCATAGTTATGCGTTAAGAGTTATTTTATTACCGTAATCAGAGATCGGCATTATAGTGGTATTAACGAGTATCTTTAAAAAGATTATAACGCATTTAAATGTTTCTAACTTGGAAAAGTAACGTTTTAATACTAAACTAGCTTCTTTTCCCTATCATAATATCAAACTAAATTATTTTCCTATTCATATAGAACATTTGTGTGTGTTATTTTCATAATGCATTTATTCTGAAGTAAACATAAAATACAAGAAAATATTTCCTTTAATATATAAACAAAACAGTTCAGTATGTTTTTTATATATTTATGTTATCCAGCTACAATTTATTGATTTTCAAAATACACACACAATATTTAATTTCAATCATATTTGCAGTTTGAGCCGCGCCGACTTGAAATACGTGAGCTTGCCTAATACAAAAGTTTACTTTATTGAAATTATTTCATTCTTTTTAGAGCGTTTGAAGTCGGTTGTATTTTTTTACAAAAATAAATTATAAATATGAGTACTCATAAGGTTAACGTGGAGAACTGCAGAGCCACTGGGGTGGAGTCCGGAAGGAATTTTGAGATAAGAATAGGCCTTTATGTTAATCGGGAATGTTAGCTATCATCATGCCAAATTTCAGCCAAATCCGTCCAGTAGTTATTGCCTGATTGAGCAACACACAAACTCACAAGCTTTCAGATTTATAATACTTCTAAGATGTTATGATCCTTGTAAATTTTGACAAAACTGTACTACCCCTCAATACTGTGTAAATTACAGATCAAAAGCTGTTGCGCGTTTATTGTTTTACACATGAGATACCATATTTACTCCCAGCGCTTGTTCATGATAAGGGTTGTTGACAAGCTAGTGGGAGAATGCATGTGTTAGATTGCTGATAACGTTTATTTTTACTTTTTCCTACAGTCACCCGACAAAGTTGGCTTCCTTGTATTGTTTATAGTACAGAAAGCTGCTAATTGCTGCATATTTATACTTCGTCGTACGGTTTATACTTTGTCGTACGGTTTATACCTTGGTGCACATCAGGATTCCAACGAAACAACACAAAAGAGCGTGGTTCTATTATGCACGTAATCCGTGTACGCTTGGAAATAGGTTGGCAACACTTAAGGTGACAACACTCATTGCTTGCCGAGGAAAAAATAGCGGATTGATACGGACCGGTAACTACTTCCTCTTGGGCATTTGTGTTGCAAGCTGAAGCTAAAAACGTGCTGTATAGTGTTTGAAAGACTAATTATTTATATGCTTTATAGTGACTGTAGGAAAACTATAATGTGTAACACGAGTGCAAAAGGCCTTTGCCCACTAGTTACACAAATAACTATTTCTCCTTTGCCAGCTGGGATATGTTTTTATTGTTGGGTTTGATTAACAGTATTTGCCATCCGTTCTTCACGGAAACAAAACATATCAAACACTAACCGAACAAAAGCTGCAATTTAGTAGTCATTTCAGGTCTCACTTTCATTATACTTCATCACAATCAATAAAAGTTTGTGTAAAAGTTGTATAACTAACGATATTGAATTACGGTGAATATTTTTATTTGAGACTAACGAATTTCATGTATTAATATTAAATTAAAATCCATTAAGATACAATTAGTGACAATGTACTAATGTTTGCATATTAAAAGAATTCTGGTAGCCAAATTCCGTAGACCAACTAATGTTTTTAAGCAAATAGTTTATCTTTATACAAACAAACTAAATAGCAATTATCATTTATGAAAAAAACGGTGTTAAAAGTGCGTTCAGAATGTTGTCTTCAAGCCTTCGTTCACAGAATTCCCATTTACGTGATCAGGTATGTACACATTTGTTGTACATTTGTATTGTGAACACGTGTTTACAAGATAAAATCATAGAATCTAAAACCAGAACTGCGAGTTTCTATAAACTGTCGAATTTTTGTTAATGGGAGATGAACGACTCGTCAAACTTCCAACAGGTCAAAAATGATTATGATGATATTACTAATAATGATCAATAATGTTATCAATCGTGAGCTCATGGATTGCTTTATTGTGATGAGTCTTTATTTTAATTTAGTTAGCAATTGGGTTATTTAGTTATGGGGCAACCAGGCACCAGGAAAATTGATTAATGAAAATAACATTACTATAGCTAGTTCTACTCATTGGACTTAAATTAAATGGCTGTGAAGAATCAACCAATCTTAGTTGATAAGAAGGCTATCATTTCAATCAATGAACTCCCATCCTTTACTTATCATTGTTTGAAATACACACCTCATGTATAGACTATATATCTAGGCTCTATGTGTTGCATTATGTATTTATCTGTCACTCAGACATTAAAAGACTGGGTAACTAAAATAACTGTATTGTTGTAGGCCATTTCCGTCCTTAATTCTGCAGGTTTATGGATGAATTATGTGCCTGTTCTTGTATTGTAGAAAATTGTGTTACAATTAAGCCAGACAAACAGACAAACATAGTAGTTTGAAACACTTAATGAAAGTTTAATATAGATAATAAATGTCATTTAAGATATCTAACTAACATGGGAGTAGTGTCAAGTGTGAGGGTTATATCCACTCTCACACACAAGTGTAAGGTAACTGGTGACTCCCTTAACTTACATCCCCTGTAGCATTGTGCTTTTACAGCAGAATAATCCTTAAGTCCCTTAGTAGATCGTACCTGTGTAGTAGGACTGAATGGGTTAGTTACAGCATTGGTGGGCAAACAACAACACGATACTAATAACTTCGGTACTTCGTCTCAAAGAGATCCCAATTGCACGAAAACAAAACATTCCGAAAGGCTTTTGATAGAAACCCACACACTACTTTCACACAGATTACGATCATAGGGAGCGTGGTAGCTACCTCAGCCCGTTGAATAGCTGTTTGGACTTCTCCAGCAAGTGACAAAATTCTATGACGATTTTCCTGTCGTGATCATCCATTCCTGCCATTCTGACCACCATCGCTGAGCGGCATCTGGACGGGGTCGGGTTGCCTCCTGAATGGTCGGCGTTAGAGGGCACAGGAGAGACGACGTCGGTGATCTCTGGGACCCCCAGGACGATGCATTACCAATAACACTCTCACAAGATATGATTATCATACACGACACCACCTTACACAAACCGCGGATTCCACACACGACTGCTCGACTAAGGGTGTACAAAAAGTGCTGGGGAGGTAGTTATTGATTGGCATTTTGAATGGGCTAAGTAAAGCAGACGACACGAGGGTGGTTAGAGACGTGGCCGTCGCGGCGCCACCAGTCGGGGGTGGCACAGCGAGGTCTGCCGGGGGCGGTGGCAACTAGGAGAGGGTGCTACATCGGCCCGCCGCTAGAGTGGCGGGAATCTGTTACACACTTAAATTGTGTAAAATTTTAGTTATAAAAGAAGTATTATCTTGTACCCTTTGTAAAAATGTCTATACACTACTTCATGCGACCAGTTAATCTGTTACCTTTTTTAAGCAATTCCTAAGTCTAACATTTTTTCATTTATTTCACCCTACGCAGTAAATAAAACATGTGATTGGAATTTCTTCCATTTGCTTTGATATTCTGTTTATATTTTGTTGTTATTTCGTGACGAACATAGCAACCCATAAGAACCATGTTAATCTTTTAGATTTTAAATCAGTTTTTGTGCTTATTTTGAGCCTATTTTAATTTATAAAGGGATTCTTCACATTTATAGGAAAATATCTTTCATTTGGTACCAACCGCATGCAATTCGGTCCAGTAGTTTGGCCAAGCTAGCTGTCTTAAATTTTGAAAAGGTTTTTTATTATATACGTAAGATGATAGTTATAATTATATATATATGCAATCATGTTGTATCATATGCATGAGTAACCGATGTATGGTTTCTTTTTATTCAGCCTTGCAAGTGTAATAAGCCTATCTTATTTTTACAAACTACTTGACATTTTTAGATTTTAATATTTGCATTTAGTTAAAATTTTACGTTGGTTTGGATTATCATCTCCTTGCTAATCCTAGTCATATACGTATTTGGGATTGATTGCAACAAAATTAAACTCGAGTTATTCAGTTGTATCCATTATAATTTAAGGACAACATGTATAAGTACACTGTCTCAATGTTTGTCTACCTCTTTTAACTCGTTCACTTTTCCAGATATGATGCCATCCAAGAACTTCTGAGCTCCCGTGGCAGTCAAGACTGCCTGGCCGAGAGGAGTTTTAAAAAACAAAAAGGCCCCTCGAGTTGTTGGATGGGCTAGGGCTCCAGCTTGAATGAGCACTTGACCTTCTTTACTATTTAAAAACTTAATCAGGTTTTCGACAGTAATGGTTTCAGAAACTGCTCCAACTACTTTCTCGCCTGTGTCTTTTATACCTGAAGCTAGTTTCTCGCCTTGTTCTTTTATATCTGAAGCTAGTTTCTCGCCTGTATTTTTTACATCTGAAGCTATGTTCTCGCCTTGTTCTTTTATATCTGAAGCAAATTTCTCTCCTCTATCCTTAAGACTGGACGCGGTTGCACTTCCTATGTCCACGGCACTAGAGAGAGACGAAACGCATTTTCCAATCGTACATCCAGCATTATCCAACGCATTAACTAAAGCCTTTTTTAGAGCAGGATTTTTATCCAATTCGGCTAACAATGCTCCATCTTTGACGTTGGGAAACTTGTCTAAAGCAGCTTTAGAGAATGTTGTAGCGGCATTCTTCAAATTCGTCAATCCCCATCCTGCACCGTGGGAACAATGGATCATCAACACGAACAGTGCCACCCGAACCTGAAAAATATAGGGGGAGTCCATCAGAGTAAGAACCGTTATAAGTTAAACATGATAACAAAAACAGCCAACATTAACATTTAAGTACATCTATTAACTTACAAGACCTTGACCTGGGACTGATTTACTTTACTTTCCCCCCTGGTAAGAGCTAGAGTTATTGGCACTACTATAGTTATTGGCACCTTTTTTTTCAAAGACTCGTACATCTAAATGCAAAAGTTGGTGGAAGAGGGAAGTTAGTTGCTGAGATGCCCACATGAGTTCTCTGTACTTCAGTGTGTGTTTGGTTATTTCAGAGGCCATGCTACCCTGCACAGAATTTTTTTTTCAAATGCTTAGCCGATTTTTATTGATTCTTCACATTTCCTTAAGAATCTGACAAGGACTTAAATACCTGTTTATTGTTTCCTATTAAAACTGAACGTTAAAAATTACGTTTTCATTATTTCATTAGTATTAGGAAGGACTCATTTGTCTATTCCCGCCACCCATTTACCCATATACTTAAAATTACCTAATATATGAGGATGCCAACAACTGTGTCTAAAATATGCAGTGATTTAGTTATTGGCACTACCTTGGCACTGCCAATAACTGTGGTAACTGGCATGCCAATAACTGTGGTAACTGGCATGCCAATAACTATGGTAAATACACTAATGCCGATTGGCACTGGTAATTATTGTGGTTATTGGCATGCCAATGACTGTAGTCACTGGTAACAGGTGACACTGCCAGTAACAGCATTTACTGTCATGGAAGTCTTAAAGTTATCGTTACATGGTTACACGATTATATGCTATAAAAAATCATTTATTTAGGCCAATATACTTAATTTATATATATAAAGATACAAAGCTTTACATAACTAATTTTTACAATATTAAAAAAAGGGTAAACCAAAAACCGATCCATCATATTATGTTTAAAACCATTAAAATTCCGTCGAAAAGCACCAATCAGAATCAAATACGTAACAAAGACAATAAAAAAATGGGCTTACAAAAGGTAAAATGTGAACGTTGTAATGAAATATTTCACAGGAAATATTTTGATGGCATTGATTACGACGAACCAATACCAATTAATATGTATAAAGACGGTATTAAGTTCGGTAAAGGTGTTGCCAAAGAACTAAACTGAAACTAAGCCTACCATGAGCAATTTTAAGGATTTTAATTTTACTTACTGTATAATTTTAATTTTTTTTTCTATATACTATGATATGATTAGGCATACATCACGTAAGACAACAAAGACCACCTTAGGACGCTTAAAATGTAATATTTTTAGACTTTTTTATAGGTGCCAATAACTGTGCCAAGATGTGACAATAGCTATGGTTGATGGTGCCAATAACTATGGTTTTTGTATCTTTTAACATTTTCATTTTTTAATAAACTTAAGTAATGATATATATATTTTCTTTATACATCCCAGTATTCTCAGTACATTCTGCTACATGATTAAAAAAACGTAGATATTAAAACAGTATTGCAAAGGAGCTGTGGTAGATTTCTCCGAAGCTTACCGTTAAGGTGCCAATAACTGTAGCATTTACCTTACCATAGTATAGCATAATGGGGATTATTGTTTTCGTCAACATTTTTGATTTTGCGTTTTGAGTGGATATATCAGTTTTGGGTGCCCCTAAACCTTTTAATTTTTTTTAAATGGTGATTTTTCCCATGAAAATCATAAACTATTGGAAAATTGGATTTAAAAACTAGGTGTGAAATGCAGTTGTCTGCTTATAATATTGAGTGGAGCTAGCATATAATCCTACTAATATTATAAATGAGAAAGTTTGGATGTATGGATATATGGATGTATGGATGTATGTTTGTGACAAGTGAACGCGAAAAATACTGGTCGGATTGGGCTGAAATTTGGCATGATGATAGCTCACATTCCCGATTAACATATAGGCATATTCTTATTTCAAAAATCCTTTCGGGCTCCGCCCCAGTGGCTCTGGAGTTTCCCATGTTAACCTTATGAGAAATGAAATTATTGAATCTTAACAGCTGTTTCAATTAAACAAGTTGGTTCTGTTCTGTGATGTTCAATAGCATTAAAGTTACAAAAAATTACCAACAGGGTGCAGTACTATTATTTCTTTTACATTTATGACAACAGCTAATTTGCAACCAAAAGGTGAGTGAGCGTAGCGAACGAACTTCAACCTGGAGGCGAGTTAGCGTAGCGAACGAGCTAACCTGAAGGCAAGTGAGCGCAGCGAACGAGCTCCAACCTAAAGGTGAGTGAGAGTAGCGAACGAGCTCCAACCTAAAGGTGAGTGAGCGTAGCGAACAAACTTCAACCAGGACGTGATTGAGCCATGCGAACGAGATAATCTTGAAAATTGAGAAGTTAAACGGGGCAAAGCCCGCGGGTTACAGCTAGTATAACATAATTTACAATTACTTTTGAACTGTCATTTTGACAGAAAATGGAGTTCTACCATTTTGTTCAGAATTTTAAGGGCTACAACATACTAAATTTTTATCAAAATTGTATTTATCAAATCAGATTTTTCCGTTATTTTATGGGGTTTTATGGGAAAATCACCATTAAAAATCAAAATTTCATAAAAATAAACATAGATATATCCACTCAAACTTGAACATATTAACGAAAACAATACTTTCTCCATATACTATAGGGGGAGAAAGTAAATCTATTCCAATTTTAACTACTTCTCGTTTATGGAACGTAGCCTTATTGTCAATTCCTACACAAATTTCATTAATGTAAATATGCCATCAAGAAATAAAATTTTTGTTTGTAAATTAATTGTCTATTTAGCAGATTGGTTAGACTTAATAGTAATAATTGACTTCAAATATTGGTATTTAATTAAAAGTGAATAGATACACATAAATCAAGCATATCTTTCATATTATACGGGTATATGCCTAATACAATATCGTTCACCACTTTTATTTCTTCCAAAGGAGCTAAATGTTTTTAATAGGCCTAAGTTTTCATCACCCTAGTCTGCATATACAAATGGGTGAGGTTCATTTGTTCGAGTTTTCAGTTTTCCGAGTTTGTTATAAATTACAAAATATTAGAGAAATCAGTTGTCCGAGTTTCATTTGTCCGAGGTTTGATATATAACTAATAATATTTAGATAAATCCACTGTCCGAGTTTTTATTTGTCCGAGGATGGTTTAAATAATAATAATATTTGGTTAACTCAACTGTCCGAGCATTCATTTGTCCGAGATTTAATTATAAAAATATCGAAATATCTAGTGTCCGAGTTTTCAACTGTCCGAGTAGCGTCAACATCAAAAGTGACACCGGGCGCCGAGAATAGCATCCGAGGCGCCTGTCTATCCTTAAGATACATT